ATATGAGGATTACTGATCTCAATAAATAGATGGGAACATAAAACTGTGTAGAGGTCCAGCAAGGAGGCTACATGATCCTCCGCTTGTAGCAGCAGGTGGTTGCTATTGCTACTTACCTTCATTCTCTAATTACCTTGCTGTTTCATTGTTACTGTTACTCGTTAAGACAATTCTCAGTTACTTCAGTACCTTATGAAGAATGTATGGACAAACTAGAGTGTCCTCATTTATTACTCCCATGTGGATCATCTGTAATATTCAGTCTACTGTTTATGTGGCTCTTTATATGTGCAGTTATTGGAAAAATCTGCTGAGCTTTTTATTCTGCAGAGAATAAAATCTTTCTGAAGGATGTTATAGTGTTTATAAGCCTTAAAACCTAAGACAACAATGACTTGGGGCCTAATTGATATCTGGATGGTGAATCTCCCGAAACACACACAACTAACAGAAGAATCAGTGTTCCCTCCAAAAAAACCAAACCTAGAACAAAAACAACACAAAGAAGACAAAAATATGTATCAATGAAGTTTTTTTTAATAAAAATCAAGAAAAGAATCAAGATAGAATGACAAGGAAAAGAAGAAAGAAACCAGGGGAAGTAAAAGGAGAAGAAACGGGGGGATGAATATATGTACTGAATGATTATCATGTGGTTCATATATGTTAGCACAAAGAAAGCCAGAAATGGGGAGTAAGAAAAGCAGACGAAGAGCTAAGAGCTATGACTTAATATGTATAAAGAATAAAGAGTAGAAAAGGTAAAAATATATAATTTTGTATATATTTGTTTATATCTACTCCAATTAGCATTCAAACTAGATTTATATAATCAAATATCAATTGCTCGTATAACTTTTTACGCATGTATCACTAATGGAAATTAGATTTTGACGACTTCTAACTGCAACTGAAACTTGCTTGAACCTTTGTGTTAAGAAACTAAAATCCAAAATAATGCCAAAGGTTAAAAATTCTTGCTCTAGAAAGTCTAGAGTTGTATTGCTTTGAAGTTTAATATATTATGTTCATTTCCAGAATCATAGGAAATTATTAAAAAGGGAAATTTTCAGTGAGCCCTATGTGTGTGTAAGCTGACACATCTTCAAATGAATGCTTGAGAGGTCGGGAACTGCGCCTTGGAACTCAGCCTAGAAGCGTGGGCAAGATTTGAAAATTTTTGTTTCAGCCAGGCGCGGTGGCTCATGCCTGTAATCCCAGCATTTTGGGAGGCCAAGGCGGGCAGATCACCTGAGGTTGGGAGTTCGGGACCAGCCTGACCAACATGGAGAAATCCTGTCTCTACTAAAAATACAAAAATTAGCCAGGCATGGTGGTGCATGCCTGTAATCCTAGCTATTCAGGAGGCTGAGGCAGGAGAATTGCTTGAACCTGAAAGGTGGAGGTTGCAGTGAGCTGAGATTGCTCTATTGCACTCCAACCTGGGCAACAAGAGCAAAACTCCATCTCAAATTAAAAAAAAGGAAAATGTTCATTTCTTGTCATTTAAATTGCACTTGCAAGAAGAATCAATTCCAGGGTTCCCCAAAGGTGGACAAGTCACTGTGCTTTTCAGGTCCTCTTAGCCTGCTTTTCAGGGAAAGTAGCAAACTTGAGAATTCTAACATAAGTAAGGCGTATAAATCAAGTCACTTCAGGGCACTTGATGTGTTTGAAGAGCTGACCGCTACAGAAGGAAGGAAAGGAAAGGGAGAAAGAGTAAAGATGCTTAATCCACGGAGCTAGAGGCATGCAGGCATGAAGGTAATGCATAGTCAATACCTTCTAGTCAATATCAGTGTCTTCTTAAAAAATGAAAAAGCTTCTAGTCAATATCAGTATCTTTTTAAAAACCAAAAAAGACATTAGTTTGAAAGAGCAGAGGGTCCATCAGAGGTAGTAGTGAAAAATAATTTTGGAGATCTAAGATTCTGGGGAATATCTGATCCCTTCCCAAGCCTGAGGCCACGCATATATGACCACTATTTGCAATCGCAGACATTTTAGAGATTAAAATACTTTTAAAAGCCTCTGTTTATCCTCTGTTCCTCTGGGGAACTGCACCTCTCTCAGACTCCAAGTATCACTGGGGCCTGCCAGGCACACTGACAGTGGCAGTGCGGTGGGTACATGATGCAATCTCAGACAGTTATTCTCCCTGGCCTGGGAAATTGACAAGAGGTTGGAGCAGAACTGATAATGGCTCAGCCCTGAAGCAAAGATCCTCATGTCTCATCCCAAGTTGTAACTTTCCTAAGGTTTGGTTTGCAGCGGTTCCTTTTATTGTGCCAGCTACTTAGGCATTCCCAACACATCCTCCTCCTTGCTTTAGTTCATTTTGACGTGTATAGCAAAAGGACTAAAGTATTACAAACTTGAATGCTCCTTCACAACAACAGCGTCTACCCCAGTGGGGGCCACAGTGAAAGAGAGGTACCATGGCCACTAGGGTTGCCAACGGGACTCATCACAAATGGTTGAAGGGACTCTTGTTGGAGCAAAAGAATCTACTGAGATGGCAATGTGCTATTGGAATGCCAGCCTAGAAGATCAAAGTTGTTGCAGTGCTGGCACCTTTGCCCCCTTTCTGCCTTTCTGTTTGTACTGCCATCCCCTAGTATCTCAGCTAGTCTAGCTGGTCTGTCTGTTCCTCTCGCTGTCTCTGCACCGCCTACATCTATCCCTTCTAATATACTCATAATGATGGGAGTTGGCAACACAACCTTCTCTGTTAATGTCCACTTGGCTGGAGACACAACACATTCCTATAGTAAAAGGTAACTGCGTAGACCACGTATCACAGGTGCCATTTCTGGTTTGCTGGCTACAATTCATGATTTTTCTTCTATGAATTCAAGAAAAGTTGGTTAGAATCTGTATTTCATGCCGGTGCAGGGTTAATTTTTCTATACAACCCATTGGATAATATTCACTCCTTCTTGAAAGCCCTTCAGGGGACCTCTACTGCCTACGGGATAGCACCTGCACTCCTCAGTCTGTCATGAAAAGCCTCCCTGACCTGGCCCAGTCCACTTTTCCAGTCTTATATCCTGCAACTACAGTACCTCAAGCTCTCAGCTCTACCCACACAAATCTACTCACTTTTTCCCAAGTGGGACTTGCTCAGGACCTTATTCAGGTCTTTGCTGAAGCCAGCAGTCTATTCTCTCTCACCTGCAATGCTCTCCTATCACTTCCTCCTGCCAAAAGCTTCTGGTCTGCAAAGTCTAGCACAGTTTCCTCCTCCTACATAAAGGATTCATGGATAACTACAGATAAAAATCATCCGTCTCAGTACTTTTTTTTGGGGGGGGGGGCGAGATGGAGTCTTGCTCTGTCACCAGGCTGGAGTGCAGTGGCACGATCTCTGCTTGCTGCAACCTCTGCCTCCCGGGTTCAAGCAATTCTCCTGCCTCTCAGTCTCCTGAGTAGCTGGGATCACAGGTGCACGCTGCACACATGGCTTGTGTGTGTGTGTGTGTGTGTGTGTGTATTTTAGTAGCGATGGGGTTTCACCATGTTACCCAGGCTGGTCTCGAACTCCTAAGCTCAGGCAATCTGCCTGCCTCGGCCTCTCAAAGTGCTAGAATTACAGGTGTGAGCCACTGTGCCTGGCCCCAGGACTTCTATACGCTGCAAACTTATTATCTCTATCACTCTTAGGGCATTTTTCCAGATACTGTCATGAACTCTCAACTATATATATGTTCCCAACTAGATTATAAGGTTTTGGAGGGCAGAGATGGAAATGTGACATTTTTATATATCTATATCTATATCTCATCTGTACATCATAGAGCCTAGGATAGTGCAGAACACAGAGCATCACTCAATAATTAATTGTAGAGCCAATGAATCAAGGAGCTGTTTCTTAGCTCCCTCTGCAAAACAGCAGTACTTTACTCTGTACAAGCTGGTCCTTGACTCTTTGGTCATAAATCCTAAAGAGCCGGCTGTGAGTCAGTGGGCACTTGGAGGAAAGCAGAACTAAGACTGAGCTTTTCCAGTTTTATTTTGTGTTTTCTGATTTGCTGCCCCAGAGGTCTGTTGTTGTTGTTGCTGTTGTTGTTTTGAGACAGTCTTGCTCTTGTCGCCTAGCCTGGAGTGCAGTGGTGCGATCTTGGCTCACTGCAACCTCCGCCTCCTGGATCCAAGCAGTTCTCCTGCCCCAGCCTCCTGAGTAGTTGGGATTACAGGGGCCCGCCACCACGCCTGGCTAAGTTGTGCATTTTTAGTACAGATGGGGTCACCATGTTGGCCAGGCTGGTCTTGAACTCCAGACCTCAGGTGATCCACCTGCCTTGGCCTCCCAAAGTGCTGGGATTACAGGCATGAGCCAACGCAACCAGCCAGGTCTGTATTATAGGTACAATCTAGGCATACAATGGTCACTTTTTCATAACTAAAAAGCAATATAAATACTGGAAATGGTTCTCCTATTATAAATGCCACAGAGGACACAGAATTAAAAAAGAGAGAGCATAAAATTCTGCTTTAAAATTCAAAGACATACTTAAACTACAATTCTAAACTGAAAATGCAAATTGGCCCGCACAATTAAAAGACAGATCTTTTATGTTATAAAAAAGACCTAATTACAAGATGCATAGTTTTTTAATTTTACTTTTTAATACATGCGACTTCACACTTAACATCTATCATTTCCAAGTACAAATGATACTGTAAACTTTTGTGTGATAAAAATCTCATTTAAAAATATGTTTAAGTCCTACCAAAGCATTTTGCTTTCTAAAAATGCTAAATATGTTCTCATAATTTTTACTTACCCTGTACAACTACTTTCAGATACTGTTTCCACCTTGTGCAAAAACAAATTCCAACGTACTTTATATCACATTGTCATAAATTTAAAATTATAGGGATTGGGAAGAATTAGATTCGCTAAAGATGCACATTGCTAAAAACGCCTCATGGTATGTGAGTTGCTGAAGGGCTGAAAGCTACTAACCTGAGTCATCCTGTGATTACAGGAAAATTACCTCTTGTCTTTGTGAATCACGGCAGTCTCCACCTCCAGAGAGTGACAGTTACTTCTCATAACTTTCTCAATGTGTAACGTCAATGAAAAGTTGTAGGAGTGAAATCAAATAGTGCAGTCCTTCTCATGATAAACCACTGGTGTGAGTCTCTGAAGGGAGCACAGGCCCTATCAGGAAGAAAACAAATCGTAAACGTCATTTCACATGATAAGTATATGAAACCAGCTACAGCCCAGGTTGACTTCCTGACCTATGCATAAATTACCCAGCCAAGTAGGGATTAGAAAGAATTGTTAATATGTGGAGTGTGCCAGAATTATAAAAGTAGTTCAAATCAATGGGCCAATAAATCAATTCCTAAGCTTTCTATAAAACATACAATACTTTCTCCTAAAGTTAAAGTGAATGATTTCATCTTGTTCCTGGGAAAATTGCTAACATTGAGAGTCATCTCTGATTCCAGGGGCTCAATTAAATGTATACTATCTAAGACAATATTACTAAATTGTACTAAATCATTCCAGTACAATTGGACTGCTCAATATTTTCCATATTACCAGCTACTTTCACCAAAAACCACTTTGTAATATAGAGGTCTTGTGGTATACAATGAGATCCCGAGAGATGCCTGATGTGATAGGAAAAGCCCATCCTGTAACACCTTGGACCCTAATTGCTTGTCTGCAAGTGGGGTGAATGGACTATAATCTAAGTCCCAGCCTGCAACCATTTTGCCTAGTTTCCTTTTCACTTGTGTGTTCACCACACTGCCACAAACTGTACTTCTCATTACTCTCAGTGATTCCCACGATGGCAGAGTGCATGTAGCATTCCTACTCAGAGATGCATGTGGCTTCCCCCAACATTCCCCTACACCAGCCCCACCCCAGTCCTGGCCCCTATTTAAAATATCATTGATCTGGATGTGCTTTGGAAAGCTTCTCTCTAGTCTTCAGAACTTGCCTATAGATTTTAACCCCAGCTACGTCTCACTCACATGTAGGCACATGATCTGTGCCGTTGAGAGCCACAGAAGCTAACTTGTTAGAAGTGCATTTAAGAAGCATTTTGAAAGAGCTACCAAAGCACCTCATCTTTGCTCATGCAATTTTAGAGCCTTCCTTAATTATAAGAGAGATGATGTTTGCTGACTGAGTCCCTATGACAGGGTGAAGCTAAAAGCTCTCTGTTCAGACTTACCCTGCCAGGCTCTGACCTGGGCAGTCAACTGTCATCAGACAATGTGGTTGTCTACGCGCCTTTCCTTCAGGCATTTGTGCCTTTCCTTCAGGCATTTGTGCCTAAATGTGTTAGACCCCTCAGATAAGCCACCTAAGGCAAAGTCTTGAATGTCCCCGTCAGTAAGAGTACCAATGAGAAGAGAAATTGTAGCTAGTGTAGAAGTAGGAGGCATATGTAAGCTACCTGGGCAGGAGGTTTGTCTATATGCCAAATCAGGCACCCAAAACACCTACAGATATGACTGATTTCGCTTCATTTTCCTAAATTCGGATCCAAATTTGCCTCTGTCTAAAGTACATGAATCATATCACCTTCTCCAAGAAGTTGTTGGGCAAAGATAGAATGTGGTCATATCTATCTCAAAGGAGTTGAATTCCAATTGAGTCTTTTCATTAAATCAGTCCTATTTAGTATTGAAAAAAACACATTTCTTCCCTTCTTCTCTTTGACTAAGCAGGAGGCCATCTTCTAGGGCAAGGTCTGTACCTTAAACCTTCTGAAATGAGCCATGCATGTATTTTCCTGGGAAGAGGGTCAGCACCTCAAACCACGGCTCAGGGGCAAAGCCAGATTTTTGGGAAAAAAAAAAAAAGAATTTTCTGTATTAAATTAAAAATACACATTCATCTTTTCAACAAATATTAACTGAATCTCTGGTGAATGTAAAGCACTAAGGATAGAGATAAAACAGCTCTCACCGCATTTGGGACCCCAGAATTTAATATTGGAAGCATACAAATAAATAGAAAATTAAAGTGTAGGAGAACCTTTACTTCTGGGATGGATACATCCTGAGCTAATGTGATTCCCCAAACTCATGCCTTGCCTTATTTAATACCAAGAATCAAGATTATTTGATATAATCATCTACAAAATAATAGAATTGATATGGTTTGGCTGTGTCCCCACCCAAATCTCATCTTGAATTGTAGTTCCCATAATCCCCATGTATTGTGGGAGGGACCTGGTGGGAGGTAATTGAATCATAGGGGTGGTTACCCTCATGCTGTTCTCATGATAGTGAGTGAGTTCTCACGAGATCTGATGGTTTTATAAGGGGCTTTTCTCCCTTTTGCTTGGCACTTCTCCTTGCTGCTGCCATGTGAAGAAGGATATGTTTGCTTCCCTTTCCACTCATGATTGTAAGTTTCCTGAGGCCTCCCCAGCCATGGGGAACTGTGAGTCAATTAAACTTTCCTTAATAAATTACACTGTCTCAGGTATGTGTTTATTAGTAGCCTGAGAATGGACTAATACAATAATCATATATTTATACAATCATTATAAAATAATTATTTTGTGTCGTTGCAAATTATTAAACATCACGGACCTTTAGGTCACTTATGGTGTTCAAAATCACAGTGTCAATACCCCTTATCTGGTGTGATGAATGTTATGATGTGGGTGTGCACCCGTGCTACAGGAGCACATAGGCGATGCAACTAATCCAGCCTGGAGTGGGAAGGGGGAGTGAAGGCTCCTTCAAGGGGCTGACACCTAAACTGAAGTTCAAAAGATGAGTGGGGTCAGCCAGGTGACAAGGAGAAGTGGGTGATTCCAGGCATATGAAACAGCATATGCAAAAAGAAAGACACAAAGCCAATAAATGAATGACAACAACAAAACAGCAACACACGCACACAAATATATACAGATGGTCCCAGACTTATGAAGGTTTGACTTTATGATGGTGTGAAAGTGATATACATTCAGCAATAATTGTGCTTTGAATTTGGAATTCTGATCTTTTTTCCAGGCCAATGACATGCGGTGGGATCCTCTCTCACAATGCCGGGAAGCCACAGAGAGCCACATCTCCCAGTCGGCCACATCATCATGAAAGTAGACAACTGAGATTCGACAGTGTTCCTTGTTGCCAGGTGATTTTGCCCAGCTGTCAGCTAATGTAAGTGTTCTGAGCACGTTTAAGGTAGGCTAGGGAGGTAGGCTATGATGTTCTGTAAGTTAGGTGTATTAAATGCATTTTTTTTTCTTTTTTTGAGACAGGGTCTGCATTCTGTTGACCAGGCTGGAGTGCAGTGGCACCATCACAGCTCACTGCAGCCTTGACCTCCCAGGCTCAAGCGATCCTCCTGCTTCAGTCCCCCAGGTATCGGGGACTATAGGCGTGGGCCACCACATCCCGCTAATTTGGTTACTTTTGTAGAAATGGGGTCTCCCTACGTTCCCCAGGCTGCTCTCAAACTCTGGGCTCAAACAATCCTCCTGCCTTTGCCTCCTGAAATGGGATTACAGGAGTAAGCCACTGCACCAGGCCTAAATGCATTTTTGACTTACAATATTTTCAACTTGTAATGGGTTTATTGGGCTGTAACCCCATCATAAATTGAGAAGTGTCTGTATTAGTTATTTGCTATGGGCCAGGCCCTGTTGTAAGCATTTAACACGTATTAACTCATTGAATCTTCCCAATAACTATATAAAATAGGAACTACTACTTCCCCCATTTTACAGATAAGAAAACTGAGGCACAGAAGACCTAAGTGATTTTCCCAAAGTTACATACCTAGTAAGTGGCAGAGCCAGGATTTTAACCGAGGCAATTTGACCCTAGAGTTCACACTCTTAACTATACAGATGGTGAAGAGAAATGGAAGCAGGGAAGCAGATGGTGAAATAAGAGGGTGGAAGAATGGGTAGGAGTCAGATCACATAGGTCCTAGTCCAGCTTCTGAACATCATGGGGGAACCACTGAATTATTTCAAAAAGAAGAATGACAAAATTTGATCTGGGTTTAAGAAATTGCCTCTGGTAGTAGTGTAGACTGGCATTGCGTGGATGGGTCCACAATGAAGACAGAGAAAGAACTTGGTTAAATATGTTAGCAAAGAATGATATTAATAATGCTTAGAAAGGATTCAATACAAGCGATATTAAGGAGAAAGAACCAAATTAATAGGACCTGATGACTCATGAAAAGTTAAGGCAGGGAACATGCTGAAGATGAAGCTCTGATAATAAGCCTGATACAGTACAATGTACCCCTACTGTCCTAAAATAAAGAAGAAGAAAGAATACAAGGTAAAGCAAAGGAAACTTTTAGTAATGGCCATATATAAACTCTAATAAACCCTTCCTTTATAATGTATGTGTATACATCCAAATTAGTTTACTTAAGATGTATGCACTTGCAGGAAATAGGATACAAGAAGGACTAGATACTGGTAACTGATTTTGAAATGCTATGATGGTCAGTAATGCATTATACTTTATATTACGGTATGAGCTGTTTGAACATAAGTTCTATAATTGACGGTAGCACTTTCTAGACAGGAACAATATGTCTTATGATCTCTGCATCTTTTTCAGTATTTTTACAATGTTCAATAAATGTCTACTGTATAAATACATGAAGAACAGAAAAGAAGGATGGCCCCTGGGTAGACAGTGCAGGGGTTCACTATCAGAGGAAATGCGATAAGAGGTCGAGGTTTTAGACTTGGGCATGTTGTCTCTGTGGTATCTGAAGGACCACAAAGTTAGATGGACATGAAGCTCAGGAGAACTTCATTTAAACATCAGCACTGGCTGGGCATGGTGGCTCACACCTGTAATCCCAGCTTTGGGAGGCTGGGATAGGCGAATCACCTGAGGTCAGGAGTTCAAGACCAGCCTGGCCAACATGGTGAAACCCCATCTCTACTGAAAATACAAATACAGTAATTTTTTTTGAAATTACAAATAGCCAGGTGCAGTGACACATACCTATAATCCCAGCTATTCAGGGGCTGAGGCAGGAGAATTCACTTGAACCTGGGAGGCAGAGGTTGCAATGAGCCAAGACCATGTCACTGCACTCCAGCCTGAGCAACAGAGTGAGACTCCATCTCAAAAAAACTAAATAAATCAGTAAATAATAAAATAAAATAAAACAATCATTATCCTAGTACACAGCCCATTAGA